TAACAGATTATGGCAGGCGTGTCTCTATAGATAGTAATCAGTAACTTTGGAAAACCTATAATTCTTCATCTACTTCCTCTTTACCTCTAAACTTACCGACAGAGAGGAGGCGACAGCCATTGTATGCTAACGGAAACATGCTGTTTCGGCTCTTCCCCAGTATTTCAGTCCCTCCTTCATCCCCCCTCTCACTCTGGGCCACTCTATTCACCTTCTAAAATGAATGGCCAGAACTGCATATAGCAGTTTTTTTCCCCTCTAATGTTGCTGAACATCATGTCTTAAGAACTTAGGGAACATAACACAATTCTTGGCAGAAAAGCAAATCTTTTTTTAAATGGCATTTGTACGTGATAAAACTTAAAGGGAACAAATTGACTGAGGTTTTTGAAGAATCCCATGCCTCTGCAGTATGGTGTGATATACCTATCGCTCTCAGTTCTAGCTGGAGGACAGTTCCCCTCTCATGGAGACATTAGTTCTGTAGAAACTACTGCTGCTGCAGACAAACGGGCCGAGCCTGCGTGAGGCAAACAGCTTAAACAGCGGTCTCACACACGCTGCAGCCCGGGAATATTTTAGATTTACTTGAAAGAGCAGCATGTGTGAATGCAAATGTCTGAATCAGTTCAGCATTTACCGAAGCCCCTTTGTAGTGCAAAGTGAAGGTGATGTCCGGTTGGGCTTGTGTATAAACACAGTAGGTAATTTTCCAGAGGATTCCCGCTGACCGAGTGTGCATGCTGATAACGGTGGCTGTTTTCTGTTCTTCTCTACTTCACCGCTCTCTACTTAGATCGTTACTCCTTGTTACAGTATTCCAAATACATTTTATATCAAGACAAAGGCAGTAATCAATACTGATAAGTTTATGGCCTCATCCCTCTTGTGTGCCTTCTGCACAGAGTTCATTTAGTATTCCATTTGTGTCTGGTATTGATTATAGTCCTTTTTATTTATCTTGAAATAACTGATTATTATATTCTGTACAGAGTGTACACAAACACATAATAGTAATGCCACTGAGATATTTTGTTTAGCAGCCTGGTTTTCTGTTAGCTGACCAGAGTACGCATTTGATAGCAAGAAACCCTTTGAGTGTAGCTGAAATATTGTTTTTCTTTTCTATATTTTCTGACTGTTTAATCCCAAATCCTCCAACGTCTCTTCCAATTTTGCATTTCTCCTTGTCATTATCCCTGTTCTTCCTCTGTGTTTCCATTTTCTCTAGGTGTTTGAGGGTAATTGGCACTCTGTTTCTTTAATTAAAATGAGGTCTAATTGTAGCTGAAGCAGGCCAAATGTTCATAGGCCTATAATTTCTCTATCACGCTCCAGAGCCACAGAGAAAGGGGAAAGGAAGGAGGCAGAGGGCATGTCAGGAAGAAATTAATATACAGGTCAAAAATAGCAAATGTTATTAAAAGACAGGATCAACATCAAATGGATCCAACTCTTGAATATATGAGGACACCCGTCGAAAAAGCTGGGGACCGGCAGTACAACCCACTGTGACAGGGTCAGGTTCTACTTTTATAAAGAAAGTTTTATACAAAACCCTCTATTGTTGTCTTCCGCTTGTTAAGGAAACCTCATACCTTTTTCCTGTGTTTCCCCCTTCACGGTTTGATGATTGAAATACAAAATTGGCCCAGCCGGCACTGATCTTCAAGCCCACCATGCTTCTAACTTTCTCTGCTTGACAAAATTGGCTTGCGCCCATCTGTAGTAGTTTTTCATAACTGTAATTCCGAGGCCCAGACATAATCGCCGTGCCAGCCCCAGGATCAGTTTAGACTTCTCAAGTGACTACTAATGTTGACAGTTGTCCTGTAATTACTGTACAATAGTTTGTTTTGGGTGTTAAATACAGCCAGATGACGAATTCTCATTGTTCCACCATTTTCTTGTGCTCGGGGCACTTTTCCGGCGGTGGGTGGCCGCCACTGCTGAAAGAATGTAGGGGAAAAGCCGACTTCCTCTAACAGGACTTAAGACTCTTTATGCTTCAGTGAAAGGCAAGGCCGTGCAAGCACATAACGGAGCCACTAACAGTCACGCTCACGCATCCTGCCTCATAAAGCTTAATGATAGAGCAGTGATAAACAGTGATTACTGTACCTGGGGGGTGGGGTGAGGTGTCTCTCCTCCACACCTTCATCAGCTCGTGAAACACAGAGGTAGGTGCTCCCCCGAAAGGCAGAAACTGGGCAGTCTGCACACTCAGCCCCCGAATTGTGAAGTTGTTTTTCAAATGATACTAAAGGTCGTCTAAATGCGGGGAAAGCAGCGGACCGAACTCTGTCGCCCAATTATCCTCCTTGCCCACCCCTCTCCTCTTATCCTGACTCTCCTTTCTTCGTCTTGCTGTAAAGCCAGTGGGCTTCTGTGGTTTTGAAGTGGAGGAGGCTTAGAGGCATGAATGCTGGTGTTTCTTTAAAAGAAACCCACAGAGAGGGTGAAATGAGAGAAGCAGGTAATACAGATGGAGAAGGCGGTGATCAGAGACACATCACATGAGCGTTTTACCGCTCGGTGCGATGGCGTGACAGGCCTGCCGCATATGCAGCCCTGATGATTAGTGACCCCTTGTCATTGCTTTCATATGCAGCAGAAAGCTCACACAGACGAGGGGAACGACAAAATGTCAGTGAGGTGGAATGCAGCGTGGAAGATGCAAGTAATTTGGCTGTGTGGCAGCGGCACAGGAATTGGGAAGGGGATTAATTCTGTTTTTGTCTTGCTTGTGGCAAAAATCTATCAAATTAGCACAAGCAAAAATGTGATCAGCGGCGGGCGTCAGTGATCATTGAAATTATTGTGGGAAATACATGGATCAAATCATTATGGATAGCCCTGCTTAGCAGCCTCTTTAAAAGGCTTGCTCTTTTCTGTTAATTAGTTTTCCTAAAAATAATGCAGTGTCACAGTTACTTGAGATATATCGGGGAAGTTTGTCAGAGTGCAGGATGTCAGTACGTTCTGTATGCCTGATTCTTCACTTTATTTTATTCTATTTTGATATTCACTCAATAGGATTACATGCGCGGTTGATTCAAGCTATCGATACGGTTCAACGTAAGCAGAAGTGGAGTTATTGCTGGATATATGTCTGATGCTTTAATGCAGATACTGTGAGGAAAATGTTTAACCCGTTCTCCAGCCTCTCACTGTGTGTTAGAAATCACTGCAAGTGTAAGTGAAGCTAAAGACGACCAAATATGTGTTGACTGAAGGTGATTTTTTTTTTTTAAGGGATGCTGTAGTTATAAAATTAGCATTTTTATAGGGCATTAAAAAAGTGTGGAAAGGCTTTAAGTGGCTGCAAGATGACACATTTGCAGATTTATTTAGCTCTTATTTCTGCCACATTTAGCCACCTGAGAAGGAACAGAAATGTTTCCCCTCTCTCTGTCTCTCTCTCTCTCACTCTATATATTTATGTGTGTGTGTGTTTATGGATATGTCTGTGTGTGTTTATACTATATATTCTGCTATCTTGTGTATTTCTCAGGATGCCATATGTGATTGACTCAGATTGACAGATATCACTAAAGTGTAGGCGTTGCAGTTATTTTTGTAAAATATTAAGTGTTGGTGTGGATCACTGCTGTTCAAAATATATGCAATATGTCTCATCACTTAGCTTTAGGCTGCAACAAAAAAAAAGTAATCATTGATTATTTATCATCTCTATAATAAATTCTCATGACTGACACCCAGAGCCCAAAGGACTGTCCTCACATGGCTTAGTTAATCAGGACGTTTAACATCCGAGGAGCTGAAATTTTGTCTTTTCGTCTTAGATTTAAGAGGTGGGAACGACAGAAAGATCAGAAAGAAGCCTAATTTATTTTTCTGAAGAAAGGAATCAAGCTTTTGTGCAAATGCTATGTCAACTATGAAAACTCAAAAAATTACTGTTGAACTTTGAATGGACCTTAAGGCAGCAGTTAATCTTCGTGTGAATCGCTGTTAGAGAAAGTCAAAATGATAGAAAAAGTGTTTGTATTGATAAATCAGTGGAAAACACAATTGGATGAAAAATAAATCAAGAAGGCTGTATTTTTTTTTTCGTACTCTGGCAGCTTAAGCATCGTGTGCCCGAGTGTGTCCGTGTGCAGAGCGTTTGTGGGTTGCTGACTTAACTGTTTAACCTCATATACGTTGCTAAGTTCAACAAAGCACCTTAATAACCTCCATGATAAACTTGCGTTGAAACCCCCAGCTGCTCTAGAATCCATTTTCATGGAGGTGTTCTCCTTGATTGTGGCCACATTAAATCTTGTTTATTGGTAAAAGTAAACTGCCCAACCCCTGAAATGGGTTTCGTTGTGAACAGGTAGGTTTGTAAAAGCCAGTCTCACAGAAACCACTCCATTACTATAAATATAAGTCAGTGTTGTAAGACAGCAAAAACCCAAATGTGCCCCAAGTAACACGTGGTTCAGGTCTTGGATTTTATTGGGATACTGAATCATAGCAGAATTGCACTGATTGTTTGTGAGGGAACAGTCTGCCTCTCAAAAGATTACAAAAAAATCAATTCTATTGTAATCACAGACTGTGACCAGAAGGGCTTAAATCTTGATACATGGGTGTGTTTGTATCTGTGCAAGAGTGGTCGATTCTGCTGCTGTGCTTGTCCTTGGTCTCTGGACAAAAGCGGGCTCTTCTCAGCAGGTTGTGTGTGACCACAGGCATGGCGTGTAGCTGGGACCAGAGGGGGTCAGAGGGGAATAAAAACAAACATTGGAGGAGGACAGTTTTAGGGTAGTGGGAATGGTCTGTATGTAATTGACTGGTGAAACACCATCTTCCACTCTAATCCCACTATAAGCCAAGGCTCGTACTTGGCAGAGAGCTTATGACTTGAAATATGTCCACTCTGTCATTTTGAAAGCATTTGACTGTTTCGATGAATGTAAATTAGTTTTGTACGTGTCACTTGTACCTTTCGTGCTACAGATAATATTCTGTTTCTTTTCTTTTTCTCACAGAAGTTCTGATGAACACTAAGACAGAGACGTCTGATCTCAAGTGGACCATCTTTTCACCGGCCAGACCAGAGGTATGTAACCCGAGCATCAACTGTGTTATCTATATTTCAAACACAAACCAAGTGGTTACTGTGGATTTTGGGCCTCCTGCCATTCTTTTGTTACTTTGGCCATAAACAAATTCCTTTTACGGTAAGCAACTGACAGAACAAAGAAAACACCAGACTGAATCTGCCAGTTAGAAGTATATTGAAAGCAGATGCTTTGATATATCCCATCAACCTTGGAGTCGAAGGGACTGGCTCCCCACAATTTGGATCCTGCCGCCAGAAAAAGACATATTTGTAATTTGATCAGCCGAAGAGTGGTTGTGGGGGAATTTTTGCCAGCAGCGCCGATGACCAGAACTGCTCAACTTGCTGATATCTCTGAAAGAAAACAGGGATGCTGGCAGGGAGATTTCTGCGGCTGGACAAAAGCACTCAGCAATCGTGTGTATGCTTTTAATTAAGAAGCAAAGCAAGACAGGCTGTCATCCTGTGAATAAGTTTTCTCTGCCGTTATCATTTGAGGCAGCTCATCAAAAGCTCTGTGGTGTCAGAATTGTGTCTTGGGTGTGTTTTTAACATTAACTCAACACAAAAGAATGTAAAAAAGTGATTTAGTTAGTGAAGACAGCCAGCAGTGAAGAGATGCCATGGGCTGTCTGCTTAAAAAATGCAGACATAAAAGAGTTACCATATGGTTCTTTATTTTTAGTATTAACGTATAACAATACGCTTAAAGCAGATATTTATGGCATCTTTCAAACCAAAGAGGATTTTTCTGGCCATTCCGACTCAAAATACTTAAATATCCATGTTGAATGTTTGTTGTAGTTTCATTAATAATTCAGAAATTAATCTGATAGTCATATATCAAACCCAGTGTAACTAATGTAATTGACCCTCATGCTTCAGTGTTATTAGTGGTTTAGCTGCTTCAGCGACATCTTCAGACTTTTGTCAAAAACATTTAGCTCTCTTGCATATCTTCTTTTTCATTTTTTTTAAAGATTTGATGGAAAAGTTTACCTTTAAGTGATTCCGACCTGTTTCTGAGTGCTTTGCTGCCCTGTCATTCAATCCGACCAGTATTTTCCTAACTCCACACATCATGTGCAGATGGATTTTTACAAGATTAACATATTTACATAACTGAATTTCTGAGCCCCCCCCCCCCAGTTCGGCAAATCTGCAATACTTTGCCCCCAGTATGCTAATGTCTTACCGGCTTCCTGCTCTTTGGAGAACAGTGATGGCAAACATATTTGCAGTTGACTCAGAAGTCAAACAATAAAGCCTTTTTTCAGTTGTTTTTGGTTCCTAAATAAATGTAATGTCTGTAGAGATTTTTCACCTCATACATATTTGTAATTGTATTTTAAGCATGTTGGAAGAACAAAAAATGTGTCTGTTTTGGATGAGATGTGCCGTGATGTTCCTTGTTTGACAAGTGAGACATGGATTCCCACTGGCTGTGCACAGTGGAAGGAAAGACTTAACAACACAGTTTTAGATTTAGGCTGGATCAAAATCCGCAGCAGCACAGATTTGTCCTTGGGTGTCTCACAGGTGTAGGACACAAGAGAGCTAACAAAGAATTGCATCCTTATCATGGTTAATAGGATTTTTAATATGCCCAGTTGTATAAAAAGTCTTCTGACAGTCGTTACAGGTGAATTAGATCTACTCTCTGCTCGCTTTTCCCATTTTTTTCTGGGTCAGATATCTTTTTAATGTGTAGTCTGACAACCCTTTGTTCTCTTTACTCTCAGTGGGAGGAAGTAAGTGGTTTAGATGAGGAGAACAACAGCGTGAGGACGTATCAGATCTGCCAAACCGACAGTTCTTCCAGCCACTGGCTGCGCAGTGGCTTTATCCAGAGACTTGGAGCATCTCAGGTTTACGTGGAGCTGCGTTTCACCATGATGGAGTGTTCCTCTACAAGCACTCACCACCGCAGCTGCAAGGAGACTTTCAACCTTTACTATTACCAGGCAGACTCCAATGAGGCCACAGAAACCCACCCACCTTGGATGGAGAACCCCTACACCAAGGTATCCGCCCTCAGCCTCTGGTTTTATCACACAAAAAAGAACATTTGAACGCATCTGGTGGAAAACTTTATTATTACTGTTTGTTACTGAGGAGATCCATTTGCCGTCCTTTTTTGCTTTGAAGACTGTGAGAAATAAAATATATTTATTATGTTTTTAAAAGCTGCAATGCTGAAATGTTGGGCTTTTATACTTATGAAAATACTAAAGTAATAAATCCAAATAATTATTTCTTACTGATGATTGAACTTCAAATTTTGCAGGGCAAAGCCACTGCATTGCCAAACTGTGAGGACATAAAATAAATAAGTCATTGGATTCCATGATTAGGGAGCTGCTTTCCTAACTTTGAACAGAAAGACTAAAAGTAAAATTTTAATTATTTTCATCTTTCTCAATGGATAAAAATACATCAAATGGTTTCCAAATCATTAGAAACATTTTCATGAAGTTGTTTCACTAAGATGTTTTGCAAGTCTTTTTAAAGCAAGAGAGCCTTCAAGTTTTCATATCAAAACCTTTGTGTTTTTTTAGCCTGTAATCTATGTGTTTTTTTACCCTGAATAATTGCAGACTTTATCCAAAACACACAAGTTTTTTTGATTCATTCACCTCCCTTTCCCTCCCATGCGCAGTTGGCTGAATTGTATTTATTTTACAGGGTAAAAATCAGCATACTGACACTTGAAAATTGATTGGGTCGTATAATTTATTACTTTTAACATTTGGTCTCTTGTATTATGAGTCTAGGTTTCACACTCATGGGAACAAGGATGGTTTTGAAAACTCATTTCAGAAAGTGTTTTTAATGTGTATGTCCCGGGCTTTAAATAGTGTGTAAATGTGCTGATTTCTGCTCCCCAGAGTCAAACATCTGATTTTGTCATGTCCTAAACACACCATAAGAGCCCCGTGCCAAAATAGACCCAACTCTGCACCTTCGTTACCACCTAATAAATAACTGACCAAAAAATGGAGCAGATGAGATGTGATGAATTGCTTTTTTTCTCCCAGAAAGTTTCAAGTTGTCCAAGTTGAGTTTAAAAGGTTATTGTAACATATGGGAAATATCAGGCAGGAAGGCAGTGAATCAATCTCTGTGGTGTGCTTTGGGAACTGCTCAATAATGTAAAGCATGTCTGATGTCTAGTTAAGTGCCTATAAAGGCTAACATAAAACAATACCACAGTGGTCATTTTCAAGCCAAACTTTCAGTGTGTGCAGGAATCTGGCCATTACATAATACATTTTCTCTTTCTTCCTGTCCTAGGTGGACACAGTGGCTGCAGATTTTCTACTAAGGAAGGGTGGAGAGCGGAAATTTAATGTGAAGACCCTAAGGCTTGGTCCTCTAACAAAAAGAGGTTTCTACTTGGCCTTTCAGGCTCAGGGAGCCTGCATGGCCCTGCTATCGGTCAGGGTGTTTTTCAAGAAGTGCCCCCCACTGGTCAGCGCTCTGTCCTCCTTCCCTGAGACGGTTCCCCGTTACCTAGTGCAAGAAGCACAGGGGTCGTGTGTGAAGCATGCCGCTCAGCAGGGGCCCCGACCTCGACCTCCAAAGCTCTTCTGTGGTGAAGACGGTCAGTGGGTGGGACAGCCAACAACCTCCTGTGCCTGCCTGCCTGGATTTGAACCAGCCGATGGGCAAACACGGTGCACAGGTAAGAGGGGAGCACCATTAGGCCGCATAAACAGATGCACGTATACTGACTACACCCACATAGGCAGCAGAACAGGCAGACTAAACAAGAAAACAATGGTAAGTTGAGGGTGGGGGTTCACCGAGGGTTGAAGCGTTTCAGAGGAAATGAAAGACTTAGGAAGTTAATGAGGCAGGGAAACGGCTGTGACACAGTAGGGACAGAGGGAGAGGTCAGCTGGAGCAGCACTTATCTCAGAGAGGAAGAGCAGGGTCAAAGGCTTACCACTGCTACAGCTCATGGTTCAACTGAGATAGAGGGAGCACAAGAGAGGTGAAGGGAGCGAAGCAGGGAGGTGGTGCTCCGGGTAAAGATACCATCAGCTTGAGAACATCAAAGCAAAGCACACAAGAAAAGAAGGAAGAAGCAGAATAATTCTCTTAGGAGCTGTGCAGCAGCTCTGTCTAATGAGTCCAATTAACATGCCTCGTGCATGAGCACTCCCCACGTGCAGACACTCTCAGAGAATCACAGCAGCACAGATAAATGTTAAATGCCATAAACAAAGAAACACAAGAAAGAGCTACACATTTCTCTCAAGAAAATGTTGTCTCGTCTGTCTGTGTTTGAAGGCACAATTCAATCTGGTCTTCATGGGAGGTGTGATGATTTCACTGGAGAAAAAAAAAGGATAATTTCCAACATTATGCTTTTGGTGAAGTGCCATTTCCCAGCGTTCTGTCACTGAGGAGAAAAACACTCACTGGGCCATAAAGGAAAATTGCCTTCATAGAGAGATTGGACAGTTAATTTGCTTAACATGCTGGTCATTTCAGAAAATGAAATTGTTATCAAGGTTTTGAACTAAACTCATTTTTCTCCATTACCATTATCTCTCAGAAACAATAGGATATTTTCCAGAGTCAGATGCACCCATGTGATGTAAAATTGATGAAACTTGTCAAGATGATTTAGTGTTTTAAAAGAGCTTCATTAGAAGATGCGAACTTCATCTTGAAAGTGAACTTCTAGCAGGCTATTAGAGTATATCTGTCCCCATGAGCTGAATCTGATCAGAAGTATGCGGCTGTCTTCTCCAGAAGCAGTTTGTGTCAGTTTTTGTTTCTTAAAAGTTTCTGCAGACTTTTTCCCTGTAACATTTCCCTTTGAGACTAGCTGTTAAACCACAAAGTGTTAACTAATTGATGAAGTAAAGTCTTGAAGGCATTCAGGTTACCTTCAAGGCTTGCTCTGGGTGATTTAACTAAAAACTGGACATATTTTGCTGTGGCACTCGCATGCATAATATAATCGTTCTCACATGTGGAAAATTCCTGCGGGAAAATGTCAGTCAGAGGAGTGTTGACCCCGAGAAACGTGTCAGTTTTCACTCAAACAATGTGACAATTGGTGTGAAAGTTTATTGTTTTTAATCCTCTGTCTCAGCAGTGGTGCTTCAGCTGCAGCGCTGAGCACAGAATGTAAACACCTTGACTGTATGTGGCGTCACATCGACGGCTTATTGTACGCTCTCATGGAGGACAAGTGCCAGCTTTTTTTCTCGTTAATGTGAAGATGCATGTGTTCAGACTGAACATGCAGCTCCAGACTATTATCATGGCTGTATTTTTTTATCAGTGATAGAATGGAAAATGAAAAAAAAACAAAAAACAGAAAGGACAATTTAATCACAGAGGTAGTTTTCCTGGTCTTTCACGTTGCAGTGAACTGGTTTTCTGTCGGTCAAATAATTGATTAGGCAGCTAATCCTTTTAACATCGGTTCAGACGCACTTTAGCCTGTCTATACTTATTGGTTGCCACAGGAATTCTTCTGGCTTCTCTAAAGAGACATAGAACTGTAAATGAATCAATAAACAAAGCAGCCTTTCACAAGAACTACCACGTCTGGTTTCATTATTCAGATAAGGCTCAGGTTAATCCTTTGATAGGCAGCTGACTATAATTGACTATTGCGATCAGCCTCATTATTTTGATTGTCTCCAGCCCTCATTACGTGGCTCTATCTGTCAATCTAAAAACCATCTGCTTCCTACTTGTTCAAAGAAAAAGGCTGTATTTTGCCAATTTGGTTAAGACACAGCCAGCGTCAAATTTTCTAGTAGTTGTAAATCACGCACAGAAATAATGACAATTTTTCATCTCCTGCTTTCCTTCTCAGCGTGTACTGTTGGTCAGTTCAAGTCAGGCACAGAGGGACAATGTAGAAGCTGTCCAGGATTCAGCCACACCACCATCAGGGGGGAGTCGGTGTGCGCGTGCCGCTCTGGGTACCTACGTGCAAAATCAGACTCTCTTGACGCCCCATGCACCAGTAAGTATGCTAAAAGCAGTCGTAGATAGGTAACAGTAGCATTTACGCACTTGTTTTCACACTTTACCTTTTACTACTCCTTCTTTCATTTGTTTTTTGACACCTCTGGTGTTATTTCTCTTTCCCTCTGGTGTCATTCAACCAGCCCTCCCGTTGTCGAGTTGCGTCCTTTGTCCCTCTGCTGAGTATTGAGATGCATGTCTTTTGTGACAGGTTATGGGGGTAGGGAGGGCTTTCTCCCTAGAATGAAGAAGGTATTGAAGGTTTCAAGTGACACCTCCATGCGGATTCAGGAATTTCAGTTCAGACACATTTTGTATGTGTGAAAAGGGGGCATGTTTTATAAGGCTCTGTCTCTTGAAATGGCCATAAAGCTTTTAGAAAACAGTGTGAAACTCGGCATTAGGTTGTCAACCTGCTCTGTTTTCCACAGGTGTGATATAAATACCAACTGGATTCAATTCCCACAATTTTTTTCTCAGATTAATGTTTCTTAATTATTTATCACATGAACAGGCCATTACAATTACATGTTTTGTTTTTGTTCTGGTTCACAATATATTGGTCATATATAAAGAAACCCCAGTTAACCAAGCAAAGTCTATTTCTCAAAAAAGTCTTCTTGATCTTTATGCCATCGAGAAAGGGTGGATTTCTTAAAGAATGCTGAGACTCATATCATTGAGAAAAGGTCCCTATTCCCATATATTGAATTCAGAATTTATATGCATCCAGACTGAGTGTGATGTTGTCCCACCTGGGGTTTCAACGAGAATACCATTATCAGTGAAGTTACGCGCGGGCTGAGTGACAAAGCTTTGTCTCTTTTGCAGGAAGTGATACTGGTTTGCAGTGTGTGAGTGATCTTGGTATTTGGTTATGCTTGGCTTGAGGCAACAGCTATCTTCTCACAATTTTCAGACGAGGATCATTATCGTGCTGCTTTAGAAGAGTGTAATTGCACCAGTTAAATTCTGCAACACATATGCCGCTGCTGTGACGCAAAGCTACTGCAAGAGCATTGTTCTGCTTTGTGGCTAAATGTGCAGGCTGAATGAAACGCCTCTCCAGCTTTTGTCTGTGTGGGTCATAGAAAGGTAAAGCAGCAGAGATATGACACATCAGAGACAAGAACCTGCGTTTGCCGGAATTCCATCAGGGAATCGTGACACTTAAAAATGAAATATGATTTGACCTTTTCACAGCATACTCCGGCAATATTTGGAGAATAATCTCCAGCAGACAAAAAGAAAAAATAATTAGCTTATGTTGCTATAATGTCATAGCTGATTCAGCATGGCAGATTTAGAAAAAATTGAACCTGACCGCAGGAAAAAGACATTTAAATGATATTTGACGTTTTGGAATATATTTGCATTCTTTTACTATTTATTAGACAACTGATAGCTGTTCATGTCTGTAAATATGCAGCTGCAGCTTTAGAAAGGCAGACGTGGAAACAGGGCATGTTTTGATGTTTAAATCTTAAACTTAAGATACTGATTTCAAATATCTACAACACAAAAAACTCAGAAGAACTTTCAACTCACTCTAGGAACTCCATCAGCGCCACGGGGCATCATCCCAGCGACTAACGACACCACACTCAGTCTCGAGTGGAATGACCCTCTGGACAATGGTGGGAGAACAGACTTGAGCTACGCGATCAAGTGCTCTGTATGCCGGCCGCCCAAAGGGTTGTGTCTCCCTTGTGGAGACAGCGTCAGCTACCGTCCAGCGCGGGACGGCCTTCTGAATCGGCGGGTGGAGGTGTGGGGACTGCTGCCTCACACCACCTACACCTTCACCATCCAGGCGCTCAATGGGGTGTCGCAGCTTAGTGGCAAGGAACCGGCCAGTGAAAGCATCAACATCACCACCAGTCACGATGGTGAGAAGTGAACCGAACGAGATTAGAAAGATGTGACATGCCAGGATTTCTTCTGGTGCTTACAATTCTGCCACCTACTTGCAGTGCCATCTCTGGTATCTGTCATCTGGAAGAGCGACTCCACAGAGAGCAGTCTGACTCTGCACTGGTCAGTTCCAGTTCAGCCCCATTTCAACATCCTGCAGTATCAGCTACGCTACTGTGAGAAGGTAACACACAAAGCCTGCCCAAATGGCTTTTCACTAACCTTTCAGATATCAGGTTTTGCTTGCAGGCTCAGGATTAAAGAGTTCTCTCTAACAAGGTTACTCCAGTAAAAACAGGGCATGGCCTAAATTATGGGTCTTTGTTTCACATGAATCATTAACACGCTTGTTGTCAGGAACATTATTCTATTATATGACCATAGTTGGCTAAAATTCAAATCAGGCTTCAGTCTAGATCCTGTAGATGACCCTAAAGTAAATTTCATGGTTTTACTGGGAGCATAATTTTCTCACAGCTCGGCCACTTCCGTTTATTCTCTCTACAGGATAGGCGAAGTGACGATCAGTGCTTCTACACGCAAAGTGACAGAAACCAGGTGGTGTTGACGGACCTCCGCAGGGCCACTCCCTACGAGGTGCAGGTTCGCGTGCAGACCCTGGCTGGTTATGGCAGCTTCAGTCCTCCGAACACCTTCCGCACGCTACCCGATGGTAATTTCCATTAGTAGTTTCTATTTGAAAGGGATCGCCATGCTTATTATTCCATACCATTATCTTGTTTAACTCCGCTGGCTTTTATTTTTCGACATTCTTATCTGTATAATGGATCCTTGCTCAGTCTTTCTTGATGAATTCATCATCTATGTCCTTGAGTAGAGCCGGTGAAAAATCATACATTTTTGTCATTCCCCTTTTATAATTTACCATCAATGTAAAATTCCTTTTATGGCTTTTTCGATCAGCATTGCTCTAACCTCTTTGCTCTCTGTGTCGTTTTTCTTTCTTCTCTGTGTCTTTTGTCTGTCTTCTCTCTCAGGACATGACTCTGCCTCCCAGTTCTTGGTACCCGGCATCCTTATCGCAGTCGGGATGCTGCTGCTTGTCACTTTTGTCTTCGCCGCTGCCTACTGCATACGGTGAGAACCAGGGAAAAGGAAAAGAGACAGAGAACAAGAAAGATTTGCGAGGGATCGAAGCTGACAAAATAACAGGAAATGGGGAAGAAAGAGGGGGAAATCGAAAACTAATAACAACCATGACCCCAATTTTACGGTTTTGCACCACTTTGTTCTTTTGTTTATACATGGTGTATCTTATCAACGGTGGATTTGCACTATGATACCCCACACACACACCCTCCCTCTGTGAAACAGTTCAGACAAAGCAATGCCTGGGATTTCTTTCGCTTACACAGCTAAAAACTATCCTGCTCATTAGAACATTTTCCTTAGGCTTCATTGTTTGAATAAATAGTGCTGGATGCCATCACAGGATAGCAAAAGAGAGAAAGTGCATGAATATATATGAGAGAGAACCGACGATAGAGGTAGAGGGCAGGAAAAGACAGGATGCAGGCGTCCCAACCCTGTTTCCACAGGACAGGAGAACAATAGCTGTGACCTTGTGACACACACACACACACACACAAACCAGCAACTGAGGCCCAGATCTGCCACTAACTGAGGGTGGTGCTTTCTTGCTATTTTAGGCTTATGAAGTGAGAGAGGGAGAGAAATGGAGGAAGGCAGGGATCCAGTAGCTACAGGGTTGTTACAGTCTTGTAGGGATGAGTTTGCGCCAGCAGAATTATAATAGAGCTGCTTGTGTCAAAGAGCAGTACCGATGGGATTGGCTCGGATGTTCACCATTACCACAAGTCATCTTGTATTGTGTCGTTAAGATTTCAGAGGATTCTTAAAGGCCAGCAAAAGCTTTTCAAAACAAGGCAGTTTTTGTGTAAAAAAAAAAAAAAGAATAAAAGTGATGGTAGACGTGTTGAACTGACCTCTTTGTAAGTGGGGCCAGGATAACAAAGTCATATCGAAGGCAGGATATATCTTATTTTATTTTTAGATTCTTGCCAATGTCATAGATTTTTTTTTAAAGACAAAAATAATTTTTTTCAAATTCCTTTTTTGTTAATTTTTGCAATGTTTTTGTTATCACAGTTTTGTGTAATTGTTATCAATTCTGAATAGTCACATTGTTAGATAATGGATTTGCATCTCATTTGCCTGACAAAGGATTTGGAATACTTGCCAAAGAGTCCAATTAAACATGGATTCTTCAGACAACTGCACCTCAACCCTAATCTCGTTGTATTTATGCCGATCTCCTTCTGCCCACAGCCGACACAGCCAAATTAAAGATCCCGAGCTGAGCGACAAAAACAACCAGTACCTTGTTGGCCAAGGTAATCCACCAAGGACATGCATACCGAACTCCATCTGATTTACATGTGGTCATGTCAGGAAAATCATTTCTAATGTGACCGGGCTCTAACATTTCTCCGCTTTCTTTTCCCACGGCTCTGTTTGTCTGTACCTCACAGGGGTCAAGGTTTATATCGACCCTTTCACCTACGAGGACCCTAATGAGGCCGTGCGAGAATTTGCCAAGGAAATCGATGTTTCCTGTGTCAAGATAGAGGAGGTTATCGGTGCCGGTAAGCCCCACCCAAAGGTTTTTCCACCAAGAGTAAATTTAAAAGCACTGTACTGTTTGTTTTCTCATTTTTTAAACGTTTTACTTCATTTTTGTCTGTTCTGTTTGGAAGTAACATTATTATAATATATCTAATTTAGTCACTTAAATTGGTTCAGGGACATTTGAAAACATTATCTAGACTCTTCTTTATCAGCGCAAATTCAATAACGCTACAGAAGTAAACCAATTAACTGATAAATATGGGCCCAACATGAGTGGCCTTCACTTAAGCTAAAGGGCGTAACATGCTGCAAGCGAGCTTTTCATTTGCTAAATGCAACGGTCGTTCTCATAATGTGGCAGAAAACAGCCTTAATGTTTGTTTATGCGTTTGTGTGCGCTGCAGGCGAGTTTGGGGAGGTGTGCCGGGGAAGGCTGAAGATCCCAGGAAAAAAAGAGAACTATGTTGCAATTAAGACTCTGAAAGGCGGATACACGGAAAAGCAGAGGAGGGATTTTCTGTCTGAGGCGTCCATCATGGGACAGTTCCAGCATCCCAACATCATCCACCTAGAGGGAATCATCACTGCCAGCTGCCCTGTCATGATTCTTACTGAGTTCATGGAGAATGGAGCACTAGATTCCTTTTTGCGGGTCAGCTTGACACTGAGAATGAGCATTGAAACGAACTGTCACATAACTGGGGCCCAGTGTCGTGTCACTTGTTCTCCAGCTGAACCTTTTCCCTCTTCCCTGTAGCTGAACGACTGCCAGTTCACTCCCATCCAGCTGGTGGGTATGTTGCGCGGCATCGCCTCTGGCATGAAGTACCTGGCAGAGATGAGCTACGTCCACCGAGACCTGGCCGCCCGCAACATCCTGATCAACAGCAACTTGGTGTGCAAAGTGTCTGACTTTGGCCTGTCGCGCTTCCTGCAGGAAAACTCCTCTGACCCGACCTACACCAGTTCCCTGGTTAGAAAACGGCCCGACATAATGAATTACCGTGCAACACATTTGCTGAAATGCTGCATTGTCGGTTGAGGTTTTATAGAGCTGACAGGTTGATTTTCACTGCAGGGAGGTAAGATTCCTATTCGCTGGACAGCACCGGAGGCGATTGCCTTCAGAAAGTTTACCTCAGCCTCAGACGTGTGGAGTTATGGCATTGTAATGTGGGAAGTCATGTCTTTTGGAGAGAGACCCTACTGGGACATGAGCAACCAGGATGTAAGTTTTGTGTTGTGTGTGCTCTTTTTATTCTCTTCTAGCTGATTCCTTAACCCTTCCAGCAACTCACAATAGATCCATATAGAAGCTTGTTGATTTAGTTTTGTTTGAACAGTAATAATTTATCTCTCTGTCAGGTAATCAATGCCATTGAGCAAGATTACCGACTGCCCCCGCCACCCGATTGCCCCACCCACCTACACCAGCTGATGTTGGACTGCTGGCAGAAGGACCGCTCCGCTCGTCCTCGATTTGCAGACCTTGTTAGTGCTTTGGACAAACTGATCCGCAACCCTGCATCTCTGAAAATCGTGGCTCAAGATGGAGCAGGGTAAGAGAGCCGAGAACTGAAATCCACCGAGAGGTGTCCATTTCTAGGAGGCCCTGTAAACAGCAGCACAGCTATTGTTTGGGAGTCTCGCACGCTGATGTGGCTGCAGCCGAACAGGTCGGCTGCATGCCTGAATCAACACCCCAGGCACATTCTGTCACTGCCAAATTGTTACCAAGTCAGATTTATTCTAATTTCCTATTTACTCTCAACATTTTGGCCCATCAAAAAGATAAAGGGCACTCGGGGGACCCATCTCGATCAATGCTATATTTTGCAATTTCTACAACTCATGGATGGCACATGATTCTGGTCCTTCAAATTCTTTTGCTGCTGCTGCTTCTACTCTTGGCAATCTTTTAAATAATATCACTTAGCCTGCCAATAAACTATAATAACTAACTGTAGTTTTGATGCTCCAGTCAGACACGTTTTGTCTGGATTTTTTCCAACTGAAGACAAACTAAAAAATCATGTAATTTCTTTCAATCTTAACTCACTCCATTCTCAGGTGTTAGTCAGATATGAATGTATTACTCCTGTGCATGCCTATCTGAAGTGGCTCCCTGTTAGATTTTCTATTCATTTTAATTTTGCAGCTACCTTCAAACCCCCTCTTAAAAATATACTTTTGAAATGCCTGATCTGTCTCTAAAACCCTGTTTAATCTATTTTTATGGATATCCTATTGACTTTAACTCACCGTATCCCTCTTTTTTAAAGCACATTGTTACACGGTTGAGAAAAAGTGTGGTGTAAATAATGCTGTATTATTTGTTACTATAGTATGTTTTTGCTTTTTGTAAGCATCATACAGAAAGCTCTCAGTGTCATTTTGTTCTAATTTTTGCTTATACTATAATCCTTATTGTTTGGTGACTCTGGCTCCAAATGACATGAAAGTTAATCGTTTTAGATTTGACATCAACAACATTGTTCACTGTAAATGCAGAAAAATGTGAATAAACACTGTTATGTTACGCATGTACCATGTTTATGTGAATAAAGGCGCTACATGTCCTGGTTACGCTGAAAGTAACCGTCATGGCGACATTACATGTTGTTATGTTAAGTTAAGCCATCCTAGTTAGTATCCTTCATGTCATGCAACTTCCAATCTTACACTTACAGCAAATATAGCATGCGTATCAGGGCTCCATACATCACTGTCAGGAGTATCTCCTAATGGCTCCATCAGGATCATCAGTGTCAAAGTGATCTATGTCTGACTGGCAGACTGTCACGTTAACAGTCAGAGGCCAGAAATATTTGTGTTCCTAGTCTGAAAAGGGCCATTATGCCTCTTTTTTACAGTCCATTTAAAGTTCTGACAGTCAGAGTAAAGACATTACCCTCCTTCTGCTTAGTCTGAGATCCCCCTGCCATGTCCTGCTGTGACCTGTCAGCCACTTGCTGTGCCAATTTCCCTTCTTTCTCCTTCTGTCTGTCAGCTGCTTACGTACAGCAGAGGACACTGCACCCCTGACAAATCCCATTGTTTGTTCCTGTCAGTCACACAGCCTCCGATGATACCTTAGCGTGTCAACTGGAATGTGGCTGCAGGACACTTATAAGCTCCTCTCTGCAGTTTTACTGACAATGTATGTAAGTCATCCCATTGTTTCTCAACTTGGTCCCCCAGGCCGTCCTACCCCCTGCTGGATCAACGTGCACCTCTAGCCCTCTCGCCGTGCGCTTCCATTGGGGAATGGCTGAGGGCCATCAAGATGGAGCGCTATGAGGACAGCTTCCTGCAAGATGGCTTCAACTCAGTAGACCAGCTGGCCCAAATCACCACACAGTCAGTTCCCATTGCCAGTCTCCTATCTAAAATTATGTTCATCGCTGTTTCACTTTGCAGCTCACACTTTTTGTCCTTGTCATTTGTAGTCGTGAAATTTTCAAACATTTTCTGGAGTACTGCTACTTAGTTTTTTATTCGAATTTCCTCTTTTTCCAAGTGAAAAACAAATTAAGTCCAGATACTAAAATTTCCCTACGTACATCACTCTGTGATATTAAAATTAATGTTTTTTTCCCATCTGTTCAGGGATCTGCTGCACATGGGAGTAACTTTGGCCGGGCATCAGAGAAAGATCCTCTCCAGCATTCAGACGATATCTTTCCAGCACAAGAGCACAGCAACTGTGACTTTCTAGCCAACAAGTCTCCTAACCTGGAAGTGAACATGGTACACAGGTGTGCAGCCATGTCCCGAAAGCATTCTGGATTCTTTCCTTTAACCTACTTTGAACACGAACTCCAAGGAGGATGGGAGAATGTATTCCTGACCAGGAAAGAGAGAGAAAAAAGCAGCATGTTGAATGACTGATGAGACTTGTCCAGAGACTGGCAGGAACCTGTCACCTGGAGTGATCAGGTGATGAAGATGTGCAGACTGACTCTGCCTCATTTTTACCGTTCATGCTCAGTATTTTTTACATCCACCAAGTATAGAACCCTGTACATGTGCCAAAACAAGAGGAACGCTAAGCCAGAGTTTACAGTTTCTCTTCATTCTAAAAATGGATCGTTTACTTATTTGTCGTTCCCTAATGTCACTTCGAACTTTAACCAAAAAAGACAAAAAAAGAAAATCTAAAGTTTTTAGCTGTCACATTGTTCTGGATTATGTCACTTAATCTGTAATGTCAAGGCTGAGAATTGTCACCCCCCTCCCCCATTTGAGTTCAACATTAAGTCCTCTTTACTCAGGTGTGATGTTTAATGCAGACTTTAGAGAATGGCGTACTTGCCCTGATCAGACACTTCTTCTTCCTTTCATCCACCATATCAGCAATGTGTGAGGAGAAACAGGCTCAGAGACATATCAGCACTTTTGTCATTTCAGAGTGAATTGTAATCGTTAGTGATTCCATTTGTTTCTCTGCTGCTGTGTTTCTGTCAGATGTTTCGGCTGCTGTTTCTCCTGGCAGCTCATTTTTATCGTAATCAACTTGAATAAGGACCAAGTGGACTCAGAGACCAGAGAACACTGTTCTGTGAAAAGCTATCTGGCCTCAACTTGTTTTTATTGACATTACTGATACATTTTTATTACCTTGTATTGTGTATTCTTTATTTCCAGTGCCATTCATTTGTTTATGTGCTCTTAAATGACAATTTTATAAAGTAAGGATCTCTCTCAAGTGATTCAGTTTGTCTTATTGTACTTTAATCGGTTGCTTATAGTCTATTATATTGTGTTGATCATTGGTCTACTTGATGGCGGAATATTTCTGCTTTAGCCCCAAAGCCACAGGAGAAGTTTTGTAACATTTAGTATGGGGAAGATGTAGAGCAACCACCTAACTCCCACCAGTCCAGCTGGTTGCAAAGTGGAATACTAATAACACCGTTGGGCTGTTGTGTGAGTGGCAGAAAGGTGCCAGTCACATTTTGACATTAATTTATCTTTCTGTTTTCCAGTTCTGGCAAAACCAATTAGTTTTTACGTACTGACAGGTTTCCTAGTCGCTGACAGATATGGCAGCTAACCTGAATTATCTACTTATGCCCTCTATTCTACACATGCATTATTTTCCCCTTATCAAGCTATGGTTCCGGGTAAAAACCATCATACTGTTCTCTTAAACCACAAAGAAGTTCTCTTGGTGTTAGGTAATGAAAAGTATGCAAATCCAGCAGGCTAACTTTTACCTCCAGAAAGCGTCTTTTGGTGCATGTGGAATGCGAACAATGTTAGCAAGTGGAATGCTAAAAACTCTGGTTAATCCCTCTCACCACCCCCACCCACATTCACTCCCCCAGTTCAGTCTGCTGAGGGCTAACACAGACCATTTTGGCAGTTGGCTAATGAATAATTTTCTTTCAGGAAACCTGAACCTGTGGTGCATTCAGAAGCGGACATTAAAACGGCTTTTAAAATGCACCGGCAAGATTACTGCAGCCTTGTTTTGAAAAATGCTAGAACAAAAAGAATACATGTAAAGAAGAATGCAATTATCAGTGAGGTTTAGATGCAACCTATTTGCTGCCAAACAGGAGTGTTATTCAAGGAAACATTGCTTATTTCAGCAGTCCAATGCCAAACTGCATCCTGCAGACACTGGGATATTTAACTGGTTCAGACCTCTTACACGTTGAAAACGCTGAGTTTGTTATTTTGAAAATCTAGCGAAACACCCTCAACATAGGAGTAAACTGTCTGCTATCAATTTAAAACAGAATAGATAGAAAAAACATTTAAAAACAATTAGTCACACATCAACATTAAAATGAGCAGATTTTGATTAAAGATGTTTTTTCTATTATGTGGGTTCCCCAATCATCATTTGACATGTATTTTTTTCTAATTCATTTTAGAAAATATGAATAAATAAATATATACATAACAATGAATGAAAATATATGATTTTACTTTAAAGATGACATGACATTGGAGATTTCAGTAGATTTTGTTAACCATGATAAGAAAAACATACCATATAAGACTCAATTCTCAACTCATTTACATGTCTTATGGCACTGGTAAATTTTCAAAGTCAGCAAGTGGGAAAAATTATACAGATGTTAAAGTGAATGTGCGTGGCTCCCAAAGGACTATCTCTGATTTGCCTCCTTCTGGTCTGACACCGCGCTCCTCTGATCCAGCAACCCGTGATGCCGCCGACTGGAATTTTCAAGAAAATGAACACACAACAAAGCAGTTCTATCTTTGCCAAAAAGCAGGACCTCTCAGCTCGCTAATGTGCTTTTGCTCCGCAGCCAGTCAATTAAGTAAATGTATCATTATTGGGTTTTATCTTGAAGCCCTGTCAGAACTGTCTGAGATCATTGTGGTGAGACGGGGCATTTTTTCCGTTTTCTTTGTGGCTCATATAACAAACGTGCTTCTCATCTGTCCTGTTGCCCCATATTTTTAAGTAATGAATTGACTATATGGCATATATTTTACTCTCATTCCCCAAACAATACCCCAGCTTAACTTTTTTTTTTTGCTGCCTTTCATTTGTATCAGCAAGGAGTCTTTACCCCCAAGGCTCTGAAGCTTGTCCTCTCTGTTTCCCTTCCTGGTCTTCGGCCCTTTTAATCATGAAGAGATGTTCTTTTCGTCTCCTGTGCCTTGGGCTGAGAGCAGCTTATAGCACAGCAGAAGCTTAAACTCTTGCACACACTTTGTTTGCCTCTCCCCTCCTATCTCCAAAGCCACCCAACCCAGCCTAAGCTGAGAGGCCTGCTAAAAGCGTTTGTGTTCGTTGATCAGAATGCTTTGATTATCGCTCTGTTTTTGACTCCTTCCACTTGTTCCGCTTCTCTTGTATGGTCCTCAAAGTATAGACGTGCACAAGTGGAGATGTGTAACTGTTACTGGAAACACTTGTGTTTTTGTTTTTAACTCCTCTATGTGTTTTTGAGCGAACGAAAGTCCATGCTGGACTGATTCAGGGTTGGAAAGAGACAAACAGGCATTCACTTCTGGTTTCTACTTCTGTCAGTGCTTTGAGTGACCCCTGACCCCCTCCCTTCTCCACATAGTACAAAACTAGCCTCAGCTTTGTCTGTGAATCTGAATGGCCATTCATTGGAGCTGCAGACCAGGCTAACCAGACCTCTTTTTTTTTTGCATTTGCCGGATTCCCCTCAAATTCCTCTGTGCATTCAAGTGTGGAGAGTTTGTGTGTGAGTGTTGATTGCTTGGAAAGGTGGGGGCTCAACCAGATGGACAGGTACATGTGGGTTTGAAAGCAAGAAGGGGGTGTATGGGAGGGAGATAAGGTGAAATGGTTTCAGCCTGTCTGGAGCCCTGAAAAACACGAGATTCCAGGAATGATCCTGCATCTCATTTATACTTTTCAAGGCACCATACAGCACCACCACATTTCAATAAAGTTTTGCTCTCTCTATTTTAAACTGCAATCTGAACTGTCTTGCATCCAGCTTTATGTAAACACTGGATCATCATTGAAAACCCTCCAGATCAATCTGGAACTTTCTTTTTTCAGTTTGGTCAAACATCAAGTGAGACAAATGTGTTTTTTCAAGCAGTGCCTTTACCTTCCAGCAAATGTATTCCTGCTGAAAAGTCAGTTGGCAGTCCCCACCTTGGACTCCTTTCATTTTCCACCCCTCACCTTTTTTTTGGATCTGCAGCATCCCCGTGATTTTCACAACAGCAGCGACTTGAGGATGGAAATTCAGTGTGAAGAATTTCGTTCCCGTGCCACGCTCCTACCACCAGATTTCCTCCCAGAGATGGCTTGCAGACATTTCGATCAAAATAGTCCAATATTTCCGAGCAAGTCCAACAAACAGCCTGGTAAGATAATTTTTTTTCGCCTGTGTACGCAGCATGATTGCGCTGAAGGATGGAAGGCACATGGCGCAGCAGAGCGCTGCCCCCCCGCTTCCACTCTGTTACGTATTAAATGTGATCACTGGGAAAGTTGTCCATCCTTGCAGCTCCTCAGCATGTCTGTTGACTTTTGCAGGAGTTTATGCCAGACCATTGCTGTAAATAAGAATTTGTTCATGGCTGGAACCACCTGGTCAAATAACGGTTTTAAAAGTGTAATCAAGCTTTCTCACTGCAGCGCATTATTATGAATAAAATGTTTGTTTTTCATTGTGCACTTAATTCACTGAATCCATTTAAATCTTTTGACTGGAAGCCCCTTCTGTCTCCAAGGTGATGGTACAGAAGTAGAAGATTTTTGTTTGAGTTGGACTCAAATTAATTTGGACTTTTTTGTGTTTCAGCCTGACTTCCTACTAAAATTAGTACCCCATGTAGAACACACAGACAATATGCAATGGCTTGCAAATCTATACATTTAATCTATTACTGACTAGCTATGATCCTTAGGCCATAGGGGACTGCTCATTTAAAAAATGAAGTATCTGAAATCAATAAGCACACTTCATCATAATAATAGATGATTCAGAATCAATTTCAAACGATTCAAAATGCTGCTTTCTGTTTCTTACCCTGAACTAATTTAAGATGAATTAGTCAAGATAGTTAATGATGATGGTAACTTGCACACTGGACATATTTAAAGACTGACAAATACTGTGATCCATGCCTTATTCTAATGTCAGTTCTATCTTGTTTCAACAATATCTTTATCACAGCTCATAAGGCTCATTGTGAAAAAAGTGACAAAGGAAGGTCCCAAGATTCCACATCACACTACGGTTGGAAATTGATAAATCTCCAATACAAAAAAAATACATGAATAGATGGAGACATCTATTTACATTTTTGTACATTTGTCCTTGAATTATTCATACCCTCAACCTCCTCAATCATTATTGTAACAAACTTCAGAAAGCGTACAAAAATGTAAATAAAAACAGAAGGAGATATCTTGCAAATCTCTGTGGAACGTTAAAAAATCTAATTGCTGACATTTGATGGTTTAATAACATGTTTTTAAAAAGATGGGACAAGTGGTGCTAAAAGCCTGAAAAAGTAAATGGTACTAAAATGTTGCAGCCTATTTATTATCTGGCAACAACAAAGCAACATGATTGGTTGTAAAAAAGAACACCTTAGAGAGATAGAGTCTCTCAAACAGAAAGATGACCAGAGATTTAGGAAATGGTATTTTTTGGAGCAGTGTCCTAGTAATGCTCTTAATGTGAAAATGGGGACGACTGAATATTAAACCACCATCTGCAGTTCATGATATCACCAAAATATTCAGAGGATGGGGAGACATCTCGGTGTATGAGGGATAGAGTTAAATATCAGCAGTGGATGCCTATCTTCGTGCCTTCAGGCAGCACTGCGTTAAGATGGGCAGGATTCTGGAATGGAAATAACTCCACGGGCTCAGGAACACACACAGGAATCATTCACTCTGAGCACGGCTCTCCATGCTAGCTACGTAAACTGGTTAAAGCTCTATCATGCAAAAAAAGAAGGGGCCGCAAATGAACATGATCCAGAAACTCTGACATCTTGTCTAAATTCATTCGAAATGGACTGAAACAGAGGAAGAAACTCTTCTCAGGTAGCAAGTGAAGCCACCAGCAGAAATTCAGAGAAGTTTCTCATTTCCTGCCTGTATTGAAGGAAACCTGCTGTAACAAAAACATCGATCCTGTCACACCATAATTGATCCCATACTAATACTCACCTTGGAATCAATGCTATTGATACTTTGATTGATCTGCCCGCTCCTAAC